CACTGAGACATAAAAATCAGATGGACTTAAGGAGAGAATGTCTTTTCGTGAATATCAGCTCCCAGGCATTACTGAATACTCTGAAATTAAGCAACTGCTATTCACTTGGAGAGTCTCTTGAGAAGGATAACTAAATTTAAAAAAATGAATATAGTCCTCTCATAACTGAAAGAAATCTGACCTGGCAAAAGAGATGCAAAAACTGAAACTGTTCAGCCCATAGAGAAGTTTCCTGAAGGCAGGAAGATGAGTACTTACAAACACCAGTTTGGATGATTAGGAGGGAAGCTATCAGACTGCTTTCTCCATTAGGTCAATAAAGACAGGCTATGAAGCAGCGAACTAAGGGCAGAAGACAGGAAACACACTCTCTTGTGGAGTACCTGCCTCACTTTTTCCCTTCTCACAATGTCACAATTGTTACTGTGACACCTGAAAAATTTTAGGAAAGCATGGATATATTACACGTATATTTCTAAGAAATGATGAATGGAAAACAGGTGTGTAAGTTTCTTTGGATGATATCTTTCATGAATAGTTTCTAAACTTTTATCTTCAGCACTTGTAGTGGATTACACTAAAAAGTTTTGTTGCTGATTTTACTGTTTTCTTCAAAGAACTGTTGTTGGAAACTCAAAATTCCACAGGTGTTATGTTCAGGGATTTCTATTTGCACTAAGGTAGATACTTTTATTCTGCCACCCTCTTCCATCTCAGTGAATTGTATTATTTGCATATTAGTTGTCCATATGAAATTTGCTTACTTGAAGCCAGGGAAAACATATTTTCCTGTTTCACAGCAAGAATTTACACATTCACCTCTGTTCTGTTCGCCTATATTTGATGTATTTGTTCAGGGAACAGATACAGTATAGCAGCATATATGGCAAATGCCAGGCTATAAAGAACAGAAACTAATCAAGTATGTAGAAGAAGAAGAAAAAGAAAAGATATTTTGGAAGAGGTTTGGTCTAAACCTCTTTTCACTTATAGCAATGAAATTACTATCAACTTTTTGGTGGATCAGGAAACATAGCAACTGAACAAGTTAACACAAACACATTTGGAGAAAAAATATTTTTATAGGTAACTGGCAAGTGAAGAATAGGCAACATCACTAAGTTATATTGTGTGAGCAATCATTAATTTCTCTATTTTAAAATAAACTCTTGTTTCTCATTTTATTTACTTAATGCATCTCCTCTGTGATTCCTATCACTGAGTACTCTTTTCTCTTTTCAAAAACAAGAATTTTCATTATTTTATCTAGGCACTCTGAGGTCTTATACTTATCACCCTGAACCAGACCTGAAAGTTCCTGAGAAGAAAATCATTTAAACATGTATGTGGAGCACAAAAAATACAGTGGAATTACTCCCTTGATCAACATTCAGTATTAATTCAAGTACTCTGTCAGATCAGACTTTTTTTGAATTCATACATTATTCAAAATTTTAAGGGTGTCTTTTGAGTTACCTAGCTGGGGTAGTTTGCCATGAAGATTTTTAGGAGTTTACTTACAAGAGAAGAAAGACAGTAAAAGACTCAGCTCACAGGAGCTGTGGATATCTATGCTTGACCTCACTGAAAATTCAGGGACAGCAGATGTGACAACAGGTATATGAAGACAGGTTGGAAAACAGCATGAAAACATGTCCTCCCATTATATAAGTTGGCCATGCTACAGTGAGGTTAAGAGACAGAAGCTGATGATTATGGT